TGTCTCTGTTAAAAATTACCTCTAAACTTACTCGTTCGTTATCCGTCTTGTTGAACACATGAATTGAGACATTTTCGTTAGCAGTATCCATAATGCTCTCCTCAAGATAATGCATCATTTGTAGTTTAGACATATCATCTATCTTCAAGGTGGTTATATAAAAAATTAACAAATTCCATAAAACTTACCCATACATGGTCGAACATTTTCATCATTGTTTTGTATACCATGGTGCAATGATCGTATGGCGACGAGAAGCATAGCTATGAACAAAACGACAATGACTAGACTGACGATAAGAGCTTGTTGATGTTGTTGTGTAAGCATATGAAGTAAGGGATCAAACGTTGTCGTTGATGAATTCTGAGTAAGACTTTGAAAAGAGCCGCTTCGATGTGTTAGTGCTACGGTCATATTTGACAGAGTACAACCTTCAGCCAGAGGGGCCACTGTGCAGTTGATTAGAATTGGTTTAATTTTCATTGTATGAATGTACAATTGACCCAATTGATCGTTCATTATTTCGTCGGCTGTCGGTGCATTAGGCGCTGGTTTGTTGACTACATACAGATGACTATCATTTTTAAAAAAGTAGTACGGCGTCATAGGTAAATGTTGGATAAAAATTATCAGCCTGTTTTCTTCCGATGACAGTAGACAATAGAATCTGAAAGAAAACTAGACAAAAAAAGCAAACATGAAATACAACTTATACGAGTACAGTACGATATCCGTAATTATAGCATTCAGACGCAAAAAAAAGTAATACAAGTGCAAGAAAAAAGAAAGAGAAAATGACAAAACAAACAAAGACAAATCTATACATGTCATCGCATCTAAGATGCATAAGAAAAAAAAATGTGTGGAAGTTTGCAAGATAGTTTAATGTTTATTATGCTCCCAGAAATTGTCCATGTCTTTTTCATTCTTGTCTAATCTATTCAGAAGTCACCCACCACTGGATCATCTATAAGATAGTCCACAAAATCATCATCTTGCTTCGTAAAATCGTTTCTTTCATAGTTGGTGATCTTGGGATCATATGCTTCTGTCTGATAAGACTTTTCATTGGAATGATGAAATGTTTGAATATCAACATGACTATTATCCAAATTTCCATTAGCTATCAACATAAAATTGTTTTGTTTGACAGAAACCAAATCAGATTGTTGTACAGGATTCATTTTTATCTACAATAGACAAAGAAAACAAATGTCATCGTTAAGAAAAGTGTCTATGATGACGAGAAAGGTGAACACGTCTGAGATTTGTATATGTATTAGCAGAGTATATAGAATAATAAAAAAAAAAAATCAAATTGGAAAATAGTACCAAGCAAGTTTTGTGTGTCACAAATCACACAGTTATTTTATCTTCGAAAGAACAGCCTGAATATTACAAGAAAGATTTTTCCATCGCTCATATGATATTACTGTGACGGGATGTTGTTTGTTGCAAAACATGTTGAAATCTAGGTGGATATTTAAAAAACAAAACGTAACAACTCGTGCTCTAGTCAATGATGCGGATATACATACTTTTTTGTTTTTACTGACAGTCATTGCAACACAGTGGAAACGATGAAAAAATTTGAATCGGGGACAAATGCAATCATTGTTTAATTAGTACATATAATCTCGTGTCGATAGTTGTCACTGATTTCTTTCAAAATATGATGTGATCGCTTACAGCGACTATTCTAACCTATAGACGTATAAAACAACATGTTTATTGAAATATATCTAGAAAATTAGTTACAAAGAAAAATTATCATCAACAATAAGAAAAAACAAACTAAAGAAAAATGAATTTTTAAAAGAGACTGAATATTATATTAATAATAGGGAACAATATTGAATATTACAAAAACTACAAGAATCTACAATATTTGTGCATATATGTCATACATAAGTTGAACATTGAATACCATGCTCTGGAGGATAATCATAGTTCGAATATGTTGGAACGATCTACAATACTAAAATAGTTTTATGCAGACTCAGTACTTAACAGTAACTTACATATTTAGTTGCCGTCGTTTTAGGAACAGCCAATGTGACGCTTGTTTCTTCGCTCTCGTCAACGGTCTCATCAAGATAATGTCTCATTTGAAGTGCGGACATTTCATCTAGATCAATGACAATATCCTTTTTCCCTTCGAAAAACAAACATAAGAACTATAACAAACTTACAAGCAAAAGTTGAAACTGTTGGAGATTGCTTTCGTTTACCACACCGATATATTCGTATGCCAAAGAAGAGTATCATGACTAAAGTGAGCACCAACAGGAGAATAATGATGATATGTTGTCCGTATCCACGCATGAAGCGTATGAGAAGTGTATTGATAAATTTCATTAACGTATTCTGTGAATTAGCATCAATTAATTGTGTTTGATTGCTTGTTGTGAAGGTCTTGTTATGGTAAGGACAACCCTCAGCATAGGGTGCTACAGTACAGTTGACAGAAATTGGTTTGACATTATTATGATGGAGGTACATTTTTGACTTGTTTGCCATTTCAAAAAATGTATTCTTTTCTAACTGGTTCGCCCATGATGCAACTGTGTATAAATGGCTTCCATTTTGGAAGACATAACGCAGGCGAACTTTTGAATTGTTCGTAATAAAAGCGGAATATTGTTCCATACGTAACAAAGAAATCTGAAAATGATTCAATAGAATAAAAAACAACAAACAAACGAAGAAAAAGTGTATAACCGTTCAAAACGGTAAAAGGTTATTTATTTATTTATTTTTTTGAAATCTATTTCTACGGAAAACTGTACAGAGTAAAAAGACAGGAGGCTAAACGAAGTACCAATGGTAGATATGTTGAAAAAAGACGACAGTGATTTCATCTATGCATTGTTTGTTAAGCAGAAGTTTCATTTTTAGACAAATTCAGTATCAGCCCGTCTTGAAGAAAGAAAGGAGTAAGGCCATGATAATCGGCGATCGGTGAAGCTAGAAACCTTCTTTGAATGGTGAATATCTTCTTTGTTATTTGTATGAGATAGATCGATAATTAAAGGATCAAACGAATTGCGCATCTAAAATTATGGAAGTATACAAAAACAAAAGGAAACATCACGAAGCAATTCAATGGACATTTCTTTTCAAGTGATCTATGTGTGAACGTACGTTTTCTTTTTTCTTTTTATGATTGTTTTTCTTCGAGTTAGGTTCAGTTGTTATATTTGTTCGCAAATGATTGAATGTAAGACATGGCCGTTGGATTCCTAGTAATTTTGCAACGATAAGTTGTTTTTTTTCTCCCTTCTGTTATTTATGTGGGCAATTTTAAAAACAAAATGAACTTACCCTGAATTAATGCACTTAAACGATAATATATCGAGATTTTCATTAATATAATTAGCAAACAGGTAGCAAGGAAAAGAAATGCCATGAAGATGAAAAGAACCAGAATATAATCGTATGGACTATTCTTAATGATATTAGCAAGAAAATGGACGAATAGGCTCGCGGTATTTTTATGATGATCTTGAACTCCATGTGCTGTTGACGCATTGACAATGATTTGACGTGTGTGATCGACCAGTGTATCTCTCAAAGGAGCCGATGAATATGTTGATAAAGTACTGGTAACAGTAGCGAATGAAGATGTGGCTGGTAATTTCTGGTGAATCCTTGGAAGATGAATGACTAAAGGTGTCGAAGATTTTGTTGTTGTCTGCCACCATGTAACAAACATGATATGTTATTTGATGCAATATCTACAAGAACAAAAGAGACAGAAGAAAAAGGCGAACAACTAAACATTGTGTACATGAGAGAAAAAAAACTTTCAAAATTTTAAACTTTCTCGAAAGATTGAATTACCGATAGAAGTGTAAGTTTCAGGAAATCGGTGCACTAGTAAGCCAAAGAAAATGATAGAACAGTATGTTTAAAGAAGACAATAATTACAAGTGTATTACTTTTCTTGTGTCTCTCGCTCGTAGAAAAAAGAAAAGGAAAAAAACATAATTCGTGATAGGTTCTAATTTAATTGATGTTATTGTCCAGTTCGGGAAAAATTTGCATCGATGTATTACTCTGTTGAATATCAAATCGTTGTTTGTGGATAGATGACTAAATGCATTATAGAATTAAGTAGAAAAGGAGCGAAACATGGTTTTTTTTTAATGCGACTCTTACCGAATCATCTTTCCCTGACAGATTTTCCACGGATAGATTTGATCCTTGTTCCAATACTTTATTTATATTCCATTTACGGTGTTGCTGAAGCTGTGGTGTACGATGGTGAATATGATTATTCTTCAGTGTTTTGGTAGCGGAGAATAGAGCTGCTTTATCTAGAAAAGTTTTCATAGACTCGAGAAAGAAACATAGATTCTCGTGTTTTTGGCATATTGTCTTACTTTTAAGATCTGGTTGATGAATTAGTAATTGTGCTGGATTTTTGAAACGTGCGTGTACATCCTTTAAAGAGAGGTGTTGTTCTCGTTTTGATTGTTGTCGTCGACGTCGATAATACATGAATATAAGAATCATAACGGATATCGCGAATAAAAGGATGACTACAATGATATAGATAAATATAGAGTATGGATTCAAATTTAAAAAGATAGGCCGATTAAAGATATTGGTGACATTAAATCGAGCATCATTCAATAATAATCCTTTATTATTGGAACCAGTCATGGATAATATTTGTGTTTTTGATGAATTCACGTGAAGATCGATATCGTAATGATACTTGTTTTGTATATCATATCGATTATGATACTCGCGATTGATATGAGTCAACACAACAGGAGATAGGAATCCACCAGCCGCTTGAGTACGTTGTGTCATGTTCCGAGTGAATAAACAGGAGAAGCAGATAGACCTATATATGTATATGTCTGTATATCTGAAATGAGACAATAAGATAGGCATTACAACGAACAAAAGATAAATGTGAAGCGTTATTAGAATAATACTCATCATGAAACTAAAATGAAGAAGGAAAAAGATGAATGACAATACCAAGATAAACAATACGAAACAGAGAATAGAGAGAGAGATAGTGACACAAAGGTACATCTACAACTAGATGTGAAACACTTGCTGTTTAATATGTATAGGGTATTGATGAATTTTCTTTTTCTTGTTGTTGTTGTTGTTGTTGTTGTTGTTGCTGTTGAATCATCCGCATGAGTGTCATGTGTTTATAGTTATGTTTCATCGTGAGATTTCCGAGCCAACTTTGACATGAACAATAAAGAAAAGTAATCAAGCTCAAGATGATTGTAGCACAAATCACATACAAAGGCCTACAAGAAATAAATGAAAAAATCGAATGAGAAAAAAAATAATAACTGCAATACAGGCGTTTTTTGAACAATTTCGGTTTAATTTTGAAAAAAAGAATCAAGTATATTTATTGTTCTCTTCAATTACTCTATCCGTATCTATATGTTGTAGGATAATGAGATGAGAGTAGAAGAAAGAAATAAAATCAAAATTGAACAGACTTACCAGTACTCGCGCATATGTGCAAGCCAATGAACTGGTGTAAGTACAAGATCTGTAGCACCTTCAATGACACGGCCTGTTTGATTTTTTACAAGTCCTAACCAACTACCTGTTGAAAGATGTCGACGAGCACTGGTATCGCTCATGATGAATGTTCCTTGATCCCGTGCAATATATTCGGGTGCATTAACTTCACTAAACGGATTAAATAAAGTAAATGACCCTCGACGATGTCGCGAACGTAATGGTGTATGCAATTCTTTGTTGACGTCATTGACGGTTGCATGGTTGCCATGAAAAAGATGTATTGCAAGAATAGAGTAAGCAAGGATGTTAAACCATAAAAAGTGACAATAAAAGTTGAAAACATACATACTAGGGTACAATGAGGAGAGTCACGCAAGTGATTAAATGTAGATGATGATCGGAAAAAAGTGATTAAGTGAGAAATGATAACATTGCTTCAGAGTCATTGACTTTTATACTTATAATGGAGAGAATAGAGAGAGAAAGAGAGAGAGAGAGGAAAAAAAAATTAAATATGAGCTTGACCAATCAGAATTATTTCTTTAAATAAGCTGGTTGGTGGAAATCTCATTTTCATCAGAGAAAAAAGAATTATAAGACGAAAGAGAGATGATTGGTAGTCTCTTTAATTTGGAAAAAAAAAAATTGTCAATATTTCAAAGATTTAACTACGAATGTACAATCGTCTGATATCTAGGTTATCCTTCGTCCTAATTTTCTCTATAAAATAACACTGTTTACAGAAACGCTTCCAGTAATCTGTTTGTTTTTCAAAGTTAATGAAAGTAGTTTCTTTTTTTTTCTTTTTGATAAAAGACAAACTATTTATTGTTGTTTCTGCTTGGAATGTACGGGAAAATCGGCGTTTGGAAATGTACGATTATCAGTGCAATATGTAACAAATAGAAGCAAAGAAAATCTAACTTGTAATGTACGATTTTAATTCAATAGAAGACTGACAATTGTACACCGTTCGGTTTCATTTTCTCTTGCAGAAAGTCAATTTTGATTGTTCTGTCAACCGGGCAAAGTGATTTGAAACTATCAAAAATGTTTGCTTGAAAATAAATTTGTTAAAAACTGAAAATTTCTCTGTTTTCTTCTTGATATATTAGTACGATTCTTGTTGTAAATATCAATATCGTCATTATTCAATTCAATTCAATGTGTCATCATAATGATGGTTTTCATCACACTTCGATTCATATCGTTAAAGTATCAAACAAGAAATGACGACCAAATTTTGAGCACATTTCTATTTACGTGTATCTCTCAATGTTGGATGGGTAAAAAAATTAATAAAATCAAGGTGTCTTTTGTTAGTGAAATCAAATAATGAGATAAAGGAGTGATAGATGGTTGATCAAAAGAGAAAAGGACAGTCGATATAAATTATTGTCCAGACGGAAGGCTTTCATTTGAAAAAAACATAATTAATCTGAATATGTCTATCCGTTTGTAATAATGGCTTCGACTCAATGACAAATTCCATGACCCAAATTACCATAAAAATGAAATCGTCTGGTAATCATCCACCTGTCAGTCTGAGACCCAATGAATGTACATTCGCTAATGATGAATATTAAATGTCTTTAGAACATTCATGTATCACATCAGATAATGAACCGATTAAATAAAATGCAGACATGATAGCGGAAATTAAAATAGTCATAGCTGTTATTGATCATAAAAAAAAATTTACCATCAGACAGCAATGGGATATGATCTATCGATCATCAGTGATACGTCTGTTTAGTATCACGCTATTCAGCAATCAGCTAGAAAAGATCGTTTGTCTTGATAATTAAAATGACTTTAATCAGAAGAAGTGAAGAAT